GGGCAAGTGCCCTGATGGGGAATCAAACCTTGATCTCCTGGTTCATAGGTCAATGCTCAACCATGAACCACACCAGCCAGGCAATGTTCATATATTTTAAAATTTGTTTTTATTTATTTATTTTAGTTGCTTTCTAGCTGGAGAGATTTACAGACAGGGAAAATATTTCCTGGCCTCTTGATGTTCATGAAACCCAAAGGGCAAAGTTACCTAATCTTTCTAGCTTGTGAGAGTCTTGTTCTTTTTGCGGAAGGAAAAGGCAGCCAAACTGGAGGGGGGGAAAAAAGTAAGTGCTTGGTACCTTCCAGAAAGGTACAAAGGTAGGTGTGGTCTAAAAGAAAGGGCAGAGAACTGAGAGTCAAGATATCTGCTTTCTGCCCAGCTCAGCCACCGGCTGACCATGTGACCTTGAATGGGAGTTTTCACTTCTCAGTGACAACAGCAAAAATAGCACCTGCACTTTCTTAAACCTGCAGGGTTGTTGTGATTGAGGAAGTCAAACGGGAAGATCTGTAGGACTGAGATAAAAATATAGAGGTGTGATCATAATAATGCCTTCCTTTTTGTGGAAGAATTGCTGCAGTGTTTAATTCATCCACTCACTCTCTTAAAAAGAGGCCACCTGACCAGCTAACATTTCCCGAGTGCTAACTCTGTTCCTGCTGCTGGACTAAGCATTCCACATGCCATCATGTTATATAATTCTCAGACTAACTCACTGGGGCCAGCGACTGTTATTAATTAGCGCCCTTCTACAGATAAGGAAACTGAGGCTCAGGTTAAGTAATATGCTTATGGTTATATAGCTAGTAAGTGGCAGGAGACAGATTTGAGCCCGTAGCTCAAGCTTAACTACTATACTTAGCCTAATATTCCACTTCAGTAAAAATACCTTTTCTTCATTTCCTTCCAGAATGTCAAACAGAAAATGACAGTGCATCTTTTGCCCACAGAGAGGCAGGGTTTGGGGTGTGGGTAGTCAGGCCTGCATTCCCAAAGCCAGGTTCTCCTAGCAGCTACCCTGCATTTGTGGGGCCCACCTCCTCTTGCTCAGGCTCTGTCAGTCATCTCAGCCATGGGTGATGGTGGGGCCTGAAGCCCTTCTCAGAAGCAAATTACCCGCAAGCCCAGTGTTATTACTTGTCTGGTGACTCCAGGCCACTGCGTTTGAGTTTGTTGTGAAGACACTGAACTTAAATATGCCGTGAATACCCCACAGTGAGAGGTGGCAAGCTGTGTCTGGCAAATGATGCTCCCAGAACACTGTTCATTTTTAAACATTTTATTAATTTCTCTTCCAAAATGACAAAACAACCATGTAAGTCGAATATAAAGAATGCCTCTCATTTGGAAGGTTGCATAACAGGCAGGGCATGTGGGCCAGAAAAAATAACTTCATTTCCATGTATACCTCTGTTAACATTTCCAGTACGTTTTTTTTTTTCTGATTGATGTGGAGTTGGCAGTGACTTTCAGCACTTGAGTTAAAAACATCTGATTTCCTTCTCCCTTAGGCAGTGAGTGATCTACAAACACACAGAGAAATCCATTAGAGAAGCTGTATTTACAAGGAGAAAAGAGAGGTTGCATTAACGAAATAAAGACTCCTAACTTACTGGCTCTGTAGGCTGTTCACTTATGGTTCTCTTCAAGGAAAGTGCGAGGTTATTATTGTGTTGAAGCGGGAAACCTTAAGGATTATTCTGGTCAACAAGTATTTTGATGTCTGCAAAGCCCAGAAGAAACCCAGGTTATAGGAGAAAGGAGAGGGGGAAAGGTCATGGCAAGTAGGAGTCAGGGCAGACAGATTCAAACTGGGAGTGCATACACTGAGCTGGAGGGCTTATGGGAAATTTCAACATTTATAAAATTGGATAAAAATATAATAAATTCCTACGTCAGCATCACACAGCATTGACAATTATTACCGAATGGCCGATTTTGTTCCATCTGGTATCCACTCTTCCCATTGTAGTATCATTTGGAAGCAAATACCTGTACCCTTTTATTTATATTTTAGAAGGTATTTCTAGAAGATAACTCTTTTAAAACATAATCTCAATATTATTATCACATCTAAAAACTAGCACTATTTCCTTGATATTATCAAATATCTGAGTCAGTATTAAATTTTCCAATTTTCTTACAAATGTGATAATTTCATTTTTATGATGCTTTGTTTGTAATAGGATCCAGATAAAGTCTTATCATCTATATAGCTTGCCCCTCCATCTCTTTTTTTTCTTGCAGTATTTGTCGAAGGCACTGAGTCATTTGTCTAGCAGAGTTTCCCATAGATTATATTTTACTGATTACATCACTGTGGTGTATTTTAATGTGTTCTTCTGTCTTCTGTGTTTCCTGTCAGTTGGTATCAAAGGCTTGATGAAATTCAAGTTTTTGTTTTGGCTCCAGCATTCTTCATAAAGTGATGGTGTGTTTTTCCATCAGAAGGTGCATAATGTCAGATTCTTTCATAACAGTTGACGGTCAGCGCCTATATCCATTTGTGTATTAGGGGCTGGGAAAATAGGAATATTTTAATTATGCCACTGTTTCTTGAAATAAAAAGAGAAAGAACTTTATAGAGAAAAACATCTCTGTCTTCTGCAATTTGGTTTTCAAGTGGTATAGTTTGTATAGGAAAGACTGGTTAAGTGTTTGCTTCTTTTCTTTCATTTGGTGATTTTCAACATAAAAATTGGTTCACAGGCATCCTCCAATAGGAATAAAGTAACAAAATCCAAGTTTTTATTAAGTGTCTTTATGATCTCATGGATTAAGACATATTTGATGTTGTTGCAAGTCCACTGAGTTATGCTAGGTGGTGCTCACTTTGTCCTGTCTTTGGCTAATGGAAGCTGCCTCAGCTTGGCTGCTGGGTCCCTTTGACACAACCCCGTTAGTTATAGGTAGGTAGCTGCTTCTAGGCATTTTTTTATAGGACAAACCTGGGTTCCAACTACTGCTCCACCACTTTGCCAGCACTTGACCTTGTGCAATTGCTTAAATTCTGAGTTTCTGTTTGCTCACCTGTAAAATGGGAATAATCATAGTTTGTAGGGTTGATGCAAGGTTAAAATAGTCAAGTATTTGGCAGAGTGTCTGACATGGAGTAAGGGCTAAAAAATGTTTAGTTTTATTAGTGTTATTATCATTATTATTATTTGAATTAATGAATAGTGTCATCAGGGCTTTGTAGCTTGCTCCATAAAATCATTAATCCCATAAAATCTTAACTCCTCCTGCAAAATGCAAGAGGAGTTAATATTAATGTAAGAAAGAAGGCCATCCTTTTTGTGGATTGGCAAATGGTTTTGCTGTGGAACTGAATGCCACACTTAGAATTCAGGAGAGAGAAGAGAGAAGAGGAAGAAGCATAGGTGTGGAAAGGGCCTGAAACCACAAGATGAGGCCAGATGCCTGTAGAAGGCAGAGGGGAAACCCACTTCTGAGCTCTCTGTGTCCTAATTAAATGTGGCCTTGGCTCTTGCCAGAGTGCATGACAGGGGTGAGGGTGATGTGTGGGGGTGAAGGTTGTTGGGAACTCTAAGTGTGAGTCATAGTTAGCTGCTCAGTCCCATCTGCCCGCCCAACCATATGCCTAACGGCAACGGTAGTTTAGGGGCAGCAAGCCCCTGGGGACACGCCAGCTGTTTCAGCCCCTGGACCCAGTTCTCAGGTTCTTGGTCCCCTTTTCCCCATTTCCTAGAACTCCTGCCCTTAAGCACATCTCACTCCTCCCTGTGATGGGGTGGGAAGGGATGGGTTGGACGACTTCTATGACAGCAAAGTGGGCCTTCTCTTTGTTTCCTTATTCAAATGTGCTAAAGGGTTAGCTTATTATTAATCTTCTTGTAAAAACAGTTTTTAGATTTTTTGTTCACATAGTCTACTATTTGTCTGTTTTAGTTTGCTTTGTTCTTTGCTTCATTTATGTCTGCTTTTCGTTTTCATTTCTTCGGGTTGAGGAAAATTCACTTCACTCAGTTCCACTTTCCTATTTTCTACTAAATGCATTTAAGACGTTTATTTATGCTCTCGTTCAGTTCTAAATATTCTGTAACTTCTATTTGGATTCCTCTTTAGCTATAAGTAACGTTGAAGTGTGTTTTTATGCATTTTCATAGCTGTGGGGTGCTTTTGGCTGTTATTTGCATTATTGAGTTCTGATTTTATTGCACTGTGATCCGTGAATGTGACTGCTAGGAGATCATGTTTGGGAAAACTTGATGGTCTAAGTCATGATCAGTTTTTATCTACATTTCACTTTTGCTTGAAAAAGAAATTGGATTCTCTTTGCTGAGTTGGGTAACTATGCTGACTGCCTGCAAATCCTCATGGAAGCCACTGCACTCTGCCAGCATCCCAGACACAAAAATGTTCGTTCAGGGCTGATTTGTTTGGTGGGACTCACAAAACATACCCCGGCCAATGGATGGCTCTTCGCTTTTGCAAATAAGGTTAATATTGCTGGAGTCTGAATTCTTTAGTCCCAGTTGAATTAGCTTGTAAGACCTAGCCTCTGGTTTCAAGTGGATACTCGTGGCTATTGCAATCATGGGCTTTTGTGCCGTGCCATAATTTAAGCGTGGAACTGATACATTTTCTCTAAAAGAACAAACGGTGGGGGCTGGCCGTGGCCTGTGTCCTAGCATCAGGCGTTACTTGAAGTCCTTTGCCCTTGGTCACTGTGGTTGTGTGGGTGTCACATAACTTCTCGGAGCCTTGCTTCTGCATCAGCTCTGTGGATATGATACCATGCTGATCACAGAGGAACGTGATGCTGCTCAGCCGAGATCGTAGACATAGAAGTGCTTGTAAACCATGAAGAGATCCTCAAATATCAGCTGCAGGTTAAGGGCACCTTGTGAAGGAATAGAAAGTGTGGTCTTAGTGCATGTTACCTCCCTTTGTTCTCTGGAGGGAGTCTGAACTGGTGAGATTGAGAGAAGTGTTTGGAGGTCCCTGAAATTCTTCATTCCCTCCCTTCCCCTCAGTGCGGAATACGGAAACTGCAGCCATGACCACCCACGTCACCCTGGAAGATGCCCTGTCCAACGTGGACCTGCTGGAAGAGCTGCCCCTCCCTGACCAGCAGCCATGCATCGAGCCTCCGCCTTCCTCCATCATGTACCAGGTCAATTCTCCGAGGGCTCTGGGGGCTCAGGAACCCGGGGGGGTCCCCTAAGAGGGTTTGCCCTGAAGGCAGAGGGAACGGGGAGCTCTGCATCTAGTAGGTGAAAGGTCGTGAGATGATGGAGTCCCTGGTGCCCTGGTGGAGCTGAGTGTAAGGAATAGATTAGCTAGTAAATGCACACCAGGGCTGCTCCTCCTCCCCGGGGAAGGCTTGTTGATCTGCTCTGACCCCAAATACCTTCCCGGCTGTTCTTGCTGCAGCACCAACCAAGGCGTTGGCAGCTCTGACCTCATGAATTAAATATTGCAATTTAGAAACCCCTAGAGCCTGCCTGGGTAATTACTTTTCCTTCATGTATGTGAGGAGAGCTCTTCAACTCCTCACAGCAGCTAATGGCTCAGGGAAGCCCGTTACAGTTGTTTGCTTTCGCCCAAGCCGGGTGAGCTTGTGCTAAACCATGATCAGATGACTCAAGACCGTGATCCACCAGGGTATGGGGGAAGGGCATTGTGCAGATTCGGCCTTGCAAATAGCCCCTGGTCTGGGTGTGCAGGGCGAGTATGCCAGGCTAAGAAAAAAATAAGTTAATTTGAAATTCTTTGCTGTATTTGACCTTTTGAAAGTTCTTAGGCTGCTAAATGAGACTAAATATAATGCATAATATATTTTTAATTTCATTCAGTGATTAGATTTATAAAGCACATGCCTGAAGTTGCAACTCATAAACTTTGTTTATTCACATTTTCTAACCCAGATTGAAATTTTAATTCTATGAATATCTTTTAAAAATATTTTTATTGATTTTAGAGAGGAAGGGAGAGGGAGAGAAAGACAGAAACATCAAGGATGAGAGAGATCATTGATCTGCTGCCTCCTGCACACCCCTACTGGGGATCAAGCCCACAACTTGGGCATGTGCCCTGACCGGGAATCGAGCCGTGTCCTCCTGGTTCCTAGATCACATTCAACCACTAAGCCACGTTGGCTGGACAATATCTTTTTTATTATAAGCAATACAAAAAAGTATAACAAATAAATTTTTTAAATAAATATGTCTATGTCTATATATATATATATATATATATATATACACATTTTTACCATCTATATATGCATATATTTTTTAATATAACAAGGGAATCATACTATATATATTGATGTATCATTTGACTTTTTTAGCTTAAAATTTATTAGGGATATTTTCCCCTAACAATACTACATTGCTGCCACATTATTTTTAACTACCATCTACTACATGTAAGTCCATTGTATGGATATACTATGATCTAATTAGCCTTTCGAGGTTAATGGACATTTGAATGATTTCCAGTTTTCTCTATCACAAAAAATGCTGCAGTTATTACCCTTTACATATGTATCTGCACCCTCAGGTGAGTGTTTTTGCAGCTGCTGGATGAAAGCAGTTAGCATCTTAACTTTTCAACAGCTGTTAGGTGTGTAGAGTGTCAGTAAGCATTTATTCCCAGGGCCCGGTGGGGTGACCCTGATGGGAAGCGGATGTGGGCCCTGTCTGTAGGCAGCTCCGGTCCAGTGTGGTTGAGTGGGATTTGGGGGAGGGAAGATGAGAGGGTGATGTGGACATAGCTTTCCACAGAGAACTGGTGGCATTTGTTGGCAGCAGTGCGTTCCCTGGGCACCCAGCCACCTTGGACCTGTTTTTCAATAACCACATGTTCCTGTCCTCCAATTCCCACAGGCCAACTTTGACACGAACTTCGAGGACAGGAATGCATTTGTCACAGGCATTGCAAGGTACATCGAACAGGCTACGGTCCACTCCAGCATGGTGAGTCTCTGGGACCCTGCCAGGGAGGGAGGGGCTGTGGGCAGCTATTCCAGGACCCCCAGCTTCAGGCAGACCCACCTCCTTAAGCCCATTCTCACGCCTGCCCCAGCCCCTCTCAGTGTCCAGGGCCATCCTGTGCCCCGTGTCTTCCAGCTTTGCAAATCCTGCTCACCTTTAGGGCCCAACATTATCCTTACTCTTTACTTTCCTGAGCACCTATAGCCTTTGGGCTAACATGTGGTTAGATCCTGCCTTGCTCTATACTTTAGAGATACTTTATACTCTTGAGCAAAACAAAAGGTTTCTCATAAAGGGACGGTGGCTTTGGAATCACATGTTGTTGACCCGAGGAAGCTGGTGGCCTAAATCATTCACACACGGGGCCAGCTGTCTGACCCATCTGTGAGGGATCGCTCCTTCCCTCTGGGGCTTTTGTGGATTTTATTCTCAAGCATCACTGAAATTTGAGGAATTCAGATTCCTCGTTCTGCAGCTCTCTAGAACTTTCTCTCTATATCAGCTGTACTCTAAAACCTGGTCTTATCATACCCCACCCATTTATTTAATAAGTAGTGTGCACCTGGGGCCTGCAGAGACTGTGCTAAATGCTGGGGAGGGAGATACAAGGACAAACGGGGATTCTCAATGGGTCAAGTGGAAATACAGGCAAGCTTACCATTTATCAAACACTTTCTGTGTAGATATTTTAAATGCATTGTCTCAGTCCTCAACTCACTGCACTGTGAGGTAGGTTCTATTACAATACCCATTTCATGGATGTGAAAACTGACGTCCAGGAAAGTTAAGTAAGTTACATGGGGTCCTACCATTGGTAAGGTCTGTCTGCTCTAAACTACTCTTTGCAGATCAATAAAAATGCACAAAATAAAGGTAAATGACATGGTAAAAGTACAAAGTTCTTTGTTTTAGAAGGGGCCTTGAGGATGTTGGGGAGAGCTTGATGAAGGCAGTGACTTTTGAGTAGGGCCTTGTATTATACATATGTATGTATAAAATATGTGAATACACAAATTGCATTATAACTATACTAGAGGCCCGGTGCACAAAAATTTGTGCACTCGGGGGGGAAGGGGGGCGTCCCTCAGCCCGGCCTGTGCCCTCTTGCAGTCTGGGACCCCTCAGGAGATAACGACCTGCTGGCTTAGGCCTGCTCCCGGGTGGCAGAGGGCAGGCCCAATCCCTAGGTGCAGCCCCTGGTCGGGCTCAGAGCAGGGCTGATTGGGGAGTTGGGGCGCTGCCCCCTGTCATGCACAGAGCAGGGCAGATC